AGTTTAAAAATAACAAAATAATCAATATTTAGAGAATATCAGGATTACTTCCTTTATAGAAGACTGTGCAATACATAGATAGCCTTTGGGAACCACAAGCAGCTTGCCAACGCTGTCTACAAAGTTACCTCCTCAGAGGAGGGTACTGCTACATCAGTGTAACAGCAAGCTCCTCTCTGGCAAATACCTACTTCCCTATCATGACCGGCTTCTCCTAAGTCTGAGTAATTGTGGAAAGAGGTGCTCTTGGAATTTTCTACTTGGTTTCTTTAAAAAAGAACCTTCCCACTTTGGGAAACTGACCAAGGGAAGCAACAGTGGATAGAGGCAAAGGGAATTTGCTATACTGTACTGAACATGTACATAACACATGCATACTTGCAAACAGACATCTTTGTCCACTGTGCCTATCTAAGTGAACAGCTCTTTATCCTCTCTGTGTGATCCATGGAAGTGCTGACTCCTCCCCAGTGATCCTGCTCAGAAACTGACATGCACATGGCAACTGCAGTCAATGAGTATGGACAGTCTGGTGGGGATTAAGGAGAAATTTTTTGAAACTTTTTTTTTGTGTGTGTGACAAACAAAGAACTACTGTGTGTGGATAAAACATGGAAAGTTTATAGCAACCTTGCCATCTACCAAAGGAAGAAGCTAACACCAGATATGGCCAAGAGGAGCAGGAACTCAAGTCTTTCTCAGCCATGACTTTGCCACAAGAGCAGCCCGAGGATTGTGTCTCATTGTTTTATAATGTCCATATTGTTTGAGTTGGTTTCATCTCTCTTACAGTTGGGCTAAAGAGATGGTACAGTGATGAAATACTTGCCCAGCATGATCTAATGAATTCTTTTTATGTTTTCTTCTTAGTTTGACAACATCAGAAACCATCGGTGGCACATTAGTAAAGAAATATTCTGACAAAAACCAAACAACAACAAAAAAACCAATGATGACTGTACATGGCAAAAATTTTAATGAACATAAATGATAACCAAGATTTAGAAGAAATTAAAACTCTCGTATTTCTTTTCATGTCAAAAGCTGATCCAAACACCACCTATGTAGGCCTCCCTCAGGTGAGTACTCATATTAAAGAGCAATCATTATGTGCTAGAATTCTTAGACATGGACTGAAGAGCTCGGGGTAAGTATGCTCCTTTCTTTGCCAAGCTGAGCTGGGTACACATGGACAGGCGGAGCTTAACATCCATCTGTCCCCTGTCCAGACTCCTATGTTCCTCAGGAGCAGCTCTTCAGATACTCTACTCAAAGACATTCCCTAGTGATCCCAACAGTTTAACCAATGGAAAATCAACAGCTTCTATGCACGAACAATCAGATCATTTCCATGAAACAAAAACCACCAGTGTAAGAATAAGACCATGGTGGATCAATAACTTAAATATAGTAAAATGAGTCTTTCAATTTCTGGCACTCACATGTTGGTTCACAACCATCTATAATGAGATCTGATGCCCTCTTCTGGAGCGCAGGCAGGCATGCAAATCGAGTACTCATATGCATTAGAAAAAACAAACAAACAAACAAACAAAAAACAAAAAAACAAAATCAAAAACCTCGCTCTGTTGCTCCCCACGGAAGGCCTTCCTTAGCCTGAGGAGCTTCAGTTGTGCAAGGAGATCATGATGCAATCAATCCCTTGGCTGCCAGAAGGGTCAGTCAGGAAACCACGGTTGGCTTTGTGTCATGGAGCCAAACCAACAGTGGCTTTCCCCCCAAAGATTCAATAAATTTAAAAAAGAAAGAAAGAAAGAAAAGCAGCAGCAGGAGCAGGAGCCATCAAATTGTAGAGAAACTTGAATGCTATATGCAGAGGCTTTTTATCATTTCCAGGCAGGGATTTACTGAAAGCATTTAGCAGGGAAGTGACTTGTGAAAACTGTATTTGGAAAGATTTATTTTAGCGACAGGAGATCAACTATGAATGAAGAGACAGTGCTATATTAGTTTAGTGTAAAGTGAGGTCCTGAGAGGGAAAACTTGACAGCTGCTGGTGACTGGATGTGGGAAGAGAGCAAGGAAAAGTCCAGTTTCATTGATAGAAACGAGAAAATATTCTTTAGGGGACTGTGAATTTGGAAGTTGAGGAGGGTATGAAGACAGAAACAGCAAGTAATTTTTCTGAATTACGTGACCTACGCTTGAGACAGCTAAGATAATCTGTGCTGAAAAGCTGGTTGAAACACAGAATTCTGCAACACTCCACAGCTGCACTGGAAACACAGATGGAGATTAGTGGGGGTAAGTCAGACATTCAGAAAAGGGGGGATGATGACAAGTTGGGACAAAGTGGTGCTTTGTGAAAAAAAAAAAAAAAAGATTTCCAAATGTTTAAAATTCCATCTTTGGATGGAAGACACCCTATAGATTAGTACTAGAAATGACACATGTAGGTTAATAGCACAGAACCAGGAAGGTTTAAACATTCAGACCAACTCTGTCCTCTGGACTTATGCACAGATGTGGCACAAAGCCAAAGGAAAGATTTTATAGTGGCATCCCATAATAGAAGGAGTCCTCTCTAGTCACCCACCTCATCTGGAGTAGAGACAACTGAAGGGTTATCTTCACCCTGACAGGAACTGAGACATCTGCATGCCTTCCTCTCTATAGAGTAATAGTGCAATGTTGCACACTCATCCCTCAAAGTGAGCAGAAAGGACTACGTGGGCTACACTCCTCTAGCTTCTCTGGTTAGGACACAAGGAAACATCCAGCCCATATATGTCTTGAGTGATCTTTTGTTGGAACTTGAATTTCTGAACTATGAAAATATTTTGATTGAAATGTTTTTTATAGATTCACATATGGATAAACTCTAAACATGGAGAAGCGTCTAAAAGCTGGACAGAGGTTGATTATCATGGGTAACTTTGGAGCATAGCATATGAAAATGTGAACACCAATAGAAAGAACAAAGAAATTATATTTGATTCACAGAAAAGAACTAAAGTTCTTTCCATTTGTTCAAAACAATCTCCCAAGTAAACTATCATAAAAGCAGAAAATTATGAAAAGAATATGACCCTTAAACATGGAAATGTTTTAACACAGTAAGTTAAAGTTTTTAAGACTGTAGCTTAGTATATTTAAAAGATATGATTTTTATGAGTACTTTTAAAGACCAACTTTAAATTATGATATTTAAAAACAGTAAACATGTAACATGGCTTACTAGCATATTCTCACAGTGCTTTGTTCATACTAGAGAACTTATTGCATACATTTGCATGTTTCTTTTTTTATATTTGGTTTTTTGAGATCGGGTTTCTGTGAGTCCTGGAACTCACTCTGTAGACCAGGCTGGCCTCAAATTCAGAGATTCTCCTGACTCTGCCACTTGAGTGCTGAGATAAAAGGGGTTTCTTGCTCTCTTTTCAACCTTTCAAGGTTCACCCTGGGACACACAGAATGGATTAGACATCAAGTGAATGAGTAGTTCACTAACAAATGGCTGATGTTAGTTAGAAGACTTTGGAAGGAAGCTGACACAGGAGGATTGAGAGTTCAGGGCCTGCCTAGGCTATGGGCTATATAGCGAGAATTTGTCTCAAAACTCACAAACACACACAGCAAAGCAAGCATGGGAAAGAGCAGGACCTCCTGAGATGACAGTGGGAAGCAGAGTGAGCTCAGGGTTGTCTCAACCACTGATGTGCCAAGGAAGATGCTCAGTAGGATTTCTCAGTGCCCTTGAGGAAGGGGTTAAGAAAGAACCTATCGATCCAAACCGAAGGATCTCCATGACACAGGACAACAACAGGGTATCCAAGAGGAGTTTGAGTGAGAGCCAATAATCAGTGGTAGAGCAGGAGTCAGAGGTCTCAAGCCTGATCAATGACCATTAGCAATGAACATGTGCAAGTAAAGATATATGGCCTAAAGGGTAAACTGTGCAACTCAACCGGCCACACGAGAGCTTCCATTGCAGGGTTCTTCTCTTTCTTTTTTGTTTGCTTTGCTTTTGTTTCTGTGTTTTTCTTTTAAATTTGGTTTTTTTTTTTTTTTTTGGAGGGGAGGTTGCAATGGCAGAGGGTGGATGCAAGGGGATGGGGGGATGAGTGGGATCAGAATTCTTGATGTGGAATTCAAAAAGAATCAATAAAAATTTTAAGAATGAATGAATGAATGAATGAATGAATGAATGCTAGTGGAGGAATTACACAGATACAGGCCAGTTCCAAGAAAAAGAAGTCTGTGTTAAGGTAAAGAACATGTGTTTAATGGTGAGAAACGTACCTGTTTAGGAGCTGAGTGAGTCTGGAGGAACGGATCAGCAAGACAAAGAACAAGCTCTAAAAGGGAGGATCTGCTGTTCCACAAGTTCAGTCACAGTCTGAACCACTACAGGCTGAGTTATTAGGACAGGAAGATGGCTTGACAGAATTCCCAGACCACAGTTGAGAATGACAAGTGTTCACACATTTAAAAAATATTAGGAATCAAAATATGTAAAGTAGCAGATAATCACCTCCACAGGACTGAGTTCACAGTGTTTCACATGTGGAAAATCCTAAACTAAAAGGAAACTTTGTTTTGAAAAGACATTAATACTTACCACAGATTGAAAATATTCAGGAGAGATGCCCTCCAATTCAAGGATTTTATCTTCAAGCTTTTTAATTCTCTGATAAATGTCTCTTGGTACTGGGCCACCTAAATTCACAGGGGGAAAATGATGAAATCTTAATCAATAATTCTGTTTTATCATTTCTATTCTTTTTTATTTAAATTAGAAGCAAGCTTCTTTTACATGTCAATCTCAGTTCCCTCTCCCTCCCCTCCTCCCCAACCCCCACCAACCCCCTATCCCAAACCCTTTCTGCTCCCTAGGGAGGGTGAAGCCTTCCATGATATGACTTCTTCAAAGTCTGTCATATCATTTGTGATAGGGCCTAGACCCTCCCCAGTGTGTCTAGGCTGAGAGAGTATCCCTCTATGTGTAGAGAGATCCCAAAGTTCATTTGTGTACTAGGGGTAAATACTGATCCACTACCAGTGGCCCCATAGATTGTTCAGACCTCCAAACTGACCTCTTCATTCGGGGGTCTCATTTTTATTCTTAAAATATTAAGCAAAGACATTTATACATAAGAATGAAAACCACTTAAACTTAAGAAAATAAACAGATGAAAGCAAAATCAATTGAAATTAACTCATGGTTTCACCCTTAGTTACAGTTTCACTCTGAATTCTATGAGACAAATTATAGACTTCTGCTTTCTAAATATTGCTTATGCATCCCATATTGCTACAAGTTGTTTTACAAAATTCATTTTATGGGATACTGAATAGTTTCCGTATAGAAAGTGTTTCTAATAGATGTTGTAGTTACTTAGAAGGAAAAATACTGAAGTCACAAGATGACAGTTCCACTTGATGGCTGTGCTTATCCTATCATTCTCTTCAAATCCTATTTCTCCTAGCATGGTATATTTTCTCCTTTGACCTAGAAAAATGTTTAAAGGAGTTTTCCCATAATTCTCAATGACAGTTCTTTTAGAGGAGGGCGTGGTGTTTTAAAGATACTTAGACATCAAGTTCATTATTATATTTAGAATCTTTCTACTGTTTCAAGTATCATCCCTGAGACCTGCCTGGTCTAGACCACAGTCTCTCTGCTAAGTACTGAGTTTGCTATGCGTTTGAGAGCTCCAGAGAACTAGTAAAGAATTTTTAGCTGGGTACAAACAACATCAGATATGAGCTTGAAAAACAGCAATTTGGTCACAGGGTGAAAATGACCTAGTTGACCAACAGACCTATCACTCCAAGACAGAGATTACAGTAGTTTCATCTACAGCAGTAGCTGTGGAGGCAGAAGAAGAAACATGCAGGGACATTTAGGAGAATTAAGAGCATGGTAACTAAATGGGTAAGACTATTTGCTTCCTAGCTGTCACTTACTATAATATCCTGGGAGGCTGCCTGAGCTCTTTGGACTTCAGTCTTACTACCTTTCCAATAGTAATAGCACACACCTCCACAGAGTTCTGTTAATCACTAAGTTGATATAGGCACGGCACTTTCAGAGACAGTATTGTTCAAAAAATATGGGCTCATTTCCCCCAGGATACTTACTCATTTATGTGTTTATTGTCAGGAATGCACTGAAGACCAGGACCACATTTATCTACATTTTTGTAGCTGGCAGAAGGGCTAATAACAATTAGAGGTAGTCATACAAGTTCTGAAATTGGCCATAGCAACACATTACATTCATTTTTTGTTGGAACTTCAATAAACCGAGGCTAACAAAATCTATCTAGATCTGTTTCCCAATTTAGAAAGTGTCAAGAAGTATAAGAAGAGAAAGCATGAACACTGAGAACTTTACAGATTCCTCGACAGTAGCAACTGTTTTATGCACCTAGAACGAGGGCTTTACAGTGAATGTTTGGGGAAACTCCGGAAGCTAAATGAATCTAATTTCCTTAAGACTTGCAAAAGCACATTACAGAACATCACCTAACTCTCTACTTACCCGTCTGCAATCGCAAGTGGGCCTCAATATTCTGGAGTCGTTCTTCCACAGCCTGGTTGCCACAGTCTCGAAGCATGCCGGTAGGTTTGTGACCTGACCCTGGAATTCCTTCGGGTCTAGTCTGTGGTCCATATGTATTCACAACTCTAGAAACTAAGTTAAGAAACTTTTAAGCCTATGTGAATTTATGCTCCAAAAGCAGAAATTCTCTCTCCCTTACAGTATATCTTTTCCATAATGGTCACCTAACCAGAAGCTCAAAAAGGAAGAAAGGCAATGCCTTCGGTTTAGAATAAAGTTTAGATGGGAAAAGTATTTCTATTCCACGTTGTTATGAAGCTACAACAAACTTTTGCCAGTGACATATACTATACAGCAGCTACTTACCCTTTACGTGACTTTTAAATCCAGGATAAGGAGTAAAGACGGCATCAGTCCTTGCACAACTATTTTCTAGGGAGAATTTGGATGAATTTAGTTCAAATATATTCTTAACTAAAAATTATGAGATTATGATAAACTCCTAATAATTCATATTTTACTCATGGGAGAATTTTAAAGGACTAATAATTACATTACTATCACATACAGAATAATTTGGGTGGTCTTTATCCTCTGAATTGAATCACAAGTAATATTTTTATGTAACGTTCAGATATACATATAGAGAAACCATTAAGTGACAAAACTTCTGATAATTTTTAATAAAATGAGTTATTACTCAAAATTATTGGAGAAAATAATTCATATATTCTAGAGCCCCATATTCTAACTCCATTATATAAACAGAAGACAATTTACCAAATTATCTTTTAAAAATTTCAGCATTTTTGTTATTACCAAATTAGTGAACATATAACAGAGGGACTGAGTGTATATTTTACAGTTTTTTTTTTTTTTTTTTTTAGGTCTCAGAACTTTATAGACTTAAAAAGATCCTGAAGCCTCAAGTACAACACACACTGAAATCTCAAGCACAGCACACTTTCCCTCTGTTCCTAGATTTCCAATGTTTATTTTAAAAAGGCCAAACAAAAGGGCATCGCTCTCAATCCTACTTTTTATAAACTGTAATTTTAGAAAAGATACATTGTGAAAATTTTCCCAATATTTTTACCAAGGTGAAAACTACAATTTCTTTTCAATTATGTATGGACAAATAAGTTATAAGGAAAGAAAACAGGAATATGTTAACATACTCATACAATTAAATATTAGCACAATTGTAATATATGAATAATATATATTATATAATGCATTAACCTAGAAACATATGCTAATGCTTGAAGTAATAGTAAAGCTATACATTGGCAGTAAATTTTCTGTTAAATTTCCATAATTATTTGGTAAAAAAAAAAATGGGTGTAAAATGAGTTAAAGTCTTTTGTTATTTCATGAAATCTGATATGAAATCCGATTTTTAAAAACTAATTCTTTTTCTTAGACCAACTGAAAAGTCTTTAAAAATACAGTAACACATTATAATGTATTTTTTAAGCTTAAGTTTAACACATCTGTGATAAGTCAAACTGTAAATAAAATTACAAACCCTCTTAATCTTTTATATTTAAAGACTAAACAGACTCATTTTCTTTTCCTTGGAAACACCTCAAAATATATATAAGAGGCCTACACTTCTCTATTCTTTCTATCCTTTCACTGGTCTTAGGGTATTAAAAAAAAAAAAAGAAAAAAAAGGCTATGTTCCATTCCAGGGCTATATTCCAAATGCAGAGAGCCATCAGTGAGAAATGCAGCGTGGTGCGGGACAGTGAGTGCATGAGGCTAGTCGTTCTCCACAGCAATTCTTGCCAGCACTGTTTTGAGCCAGCAAGGGATTGAATGGGCTAAGGAATCCTGCTGAGCATTTCAATTCTTGCCAATTTCTATCCCCTGATGGTTTATAATAATAGAGTTAGCAGGAAGAACAGAGGAATAACATTAGTGACACATGCACTTGCTCCCTCAACAAACCCTTTCTCTTGAGGTGCACACAACTGATTGGTGCACCTGAGATTTTGCCACTGCCATACCTGTTCTGAAAGGCTAACTCTAGAGATCCACAGAAGTTAACAGTGGAAAAAGTGAGATTTAGAACCCAAAGTGAGCTTACGTTATTATGTTAAGAGTATCCTGTATCAATGTGATTGTGAGTCACTTCCAGGTTCAACTGACAATTCCATGCTCAGAATCACCAGCCAAAAGATATATTAAAGGCAGTAAGAAAAAGGTTAAGTGCAATTATGAACCTTTCTCCATATGTTTTTTCTAAGAACTATTTGTATTGGTCATTATAAGGATAACTGAGTAAGATCTATGGCAGTGCTACACAGTATATGGTGTTCTGTACACACTGTCCTATCAACCTAAGAGGGAAAGGGGACTCTGATGAAAAATAGCAAAGGTATGCACAATAAAAAGAGGACAAAAGCCTAGGGCTCCACAGTCTTCATGGCAAGCTGGGTATATCTATCCATGAGGAAACTAAGGAGTAAAGAGAAAACTGCTCCCTCTTGAGGAATGCTATCAGCTTCCTAAGTTCACTGAATACAGGTACATTTAAAGACCCGAAAGTTGTAGTTTTGTTCTTTCCTAACACTGAGTCTGAACAATCAGGCCATTCGATATTCCACTTTGCTTCCTAAACATCTTCTCACACCTGTGGTAAACATTTGTCTCTGGGGTTTAGCCTTCACTTGATTTTTGTGTAACCAAAATGAAGATCAGCTTGACACACAGCCCATTACTAAACAGAAGAAAATTCTACTGCCTTAATTACCAACTAGAAACTTGTAAAATTGAATTTTGTTCTTAATCTTACCTTTAAAACAAAATATTACAGCGGTTGTCAAAATATTTAAAATCCTATAAAAATAAACTTCTAGTTACCTTGATTACAATCAATAACATTGCAAAATTCCCTGACGTTGTTTTCATTGATTTCAGCTTGTTTTCTTTCAATAAATGCAGATATTCTTCTCTCAATCTACAAATAATAAATATCTTAACAATCAAAACACAAGAGAACTTTTAAAAGTAATGTCCCCTACCCCTACCCCTGCACCACCCCAAACTTACTTCGGCTTTTCCAGCCTTTATTTGAACTACTTCTGGATCAAAATGGATTTGTGTCTTTTTCACATCTAAGTCACAGACTTTGAGCTTTCCTTCATCTTGCAGGTCCCCAATGGGATGTTTAGCATTGAGTTCACTCTTGGTCTCTGTTTCTGTCTGTCTTATCTCTTCAACAGCAGTTGAATTCTCTTTAATTAAAGACTGGAGTTTTGCTAAAAAAGGCTGAAGGGAACACAGTGACATCTACTCAGGTTAAAACTAATCTAAATTAGTTACATATTTACATAAACTGATGCTGAGTAAATGAATATTATTGGTTATTAAATATAAAAAGCTGGCACACAAGGATATACAGGTCTGACCATACACATGTTCACTGTTTTCTATTGTGGTCACTCTTATTGTTTGCAATAAAATTATTACAAAAAAACAAAAAAGAAAGAAAGAAAGCCTGAGGAAATTTAAAATTTTCTTTGAGGAAATCATTCTGTCACTCATCTTTCACTTTGTGCCAAATCAAAGCCTTTAGTCTCTGGCCTGGATGCCTCTTAATTAACACGTCACTCAGAACACTAGGCTTGGTATTCTCCCTCCTTAGTAGGAGAGCGATGCTCTCTCTCACTCAGCAACACCCTGCATTATCACAATATCTGGAGATTCTCCACTTGAAAGTGCAGTTGGCCAGAATGAATGAGACAGCATGGATATGAAGTATATAGGTGTTACACTAAGTGAACATTCAGCCTGTTTCTGACATAGCAAGATATCTCATTGGGTCAGGAAATGAAATTTTTCAAAAGAAAATGAACAATGGGAGAAAACAATGAAACAAAACAAACAAAACATGGCACAAAGACCCCTAGCAGGCAGCAGGTCATTCTAACTAAGAGTGGGTTTAAAAAAAAAAAAAAAAGCTTCTTCATAATGGAAATTCACTTCTGTTCTTCCTAGCCAACCCACCCCAACAAGGTCCACATCTGAATTCTATAGCTCATCACCTGCCCTTTAAACAAACTTTTAACTGTTATTTTTATCATGAAACATGGTTAAACATTCTCAGAAAGTCGATCAATGCAGGACTGAAAATTAACACACTACTTCTAAACAATATCCCGATCATCTTTTCATACAATTTTGTTTTCATTGCTTGCTATGGCAAAACTCTTCTGAAACCTTATGACATCTAAAACATAGTAAAGCCACCATGAAAAAACAGTTCTGCTCATCCTTGAGGCTTCACATTTCACTTTGATTAGAGAAAATCTGCAACTCACATCAATTACACTTGCAGAGATGTTCAACAACAACCAGCAAGGTCATAACACTGTTCATTTCTTAAACTGAAATATTAAAAAATGTAACAATACTATTATAAATAATTCAATATTGACTTCCAATATCAAGGATAAATTATTTCAAATTATTAAGAGGAAATAGTGACTGGCTACTCACTAAGATGAAACATTAATGTCACAGAAATTACTTTCTTTTTAAAAACTATGCTGAAACTGTTTAATTGCAATAGACACTCCAGGATGTGTCATGCTGGGATAATGCCACTTCTTGAACCACTGAAAGCACTCCATGAGCCTCCAAACTCACCCAAGGCATGGAATCATTATCATAGCATGACTCACACCTGCCGTGTCTTATTGCTTAATTATAACCCACCATAGATGAACTGTATTGAATTTTCAGCAAAGCCTAGAATTGAATAGAATTTCATTTATTCAATTTCATACCCACATTGGCCTATTGGGTTTTATTTTCATAACTATCTGGATCACTAGTGAAATGAACAGACCTAGACTCAATATAGATTTAAGTAACCTTTTTTATTAATAACACTACTAACACTAATAGAGTGTTGAGGCAGAACTGACAAATACTGCAACTAATTTAACTATAATTAATTTCTATTTTCAATATCCCAGCAAACATTTCTAATATGAAATTTACCTGTAAATACAAAACGTGTTGTTCAAGTGCTGTAAGGAGCAATGCAGGCTGGGATGCTGAGAGGCTCTGAAGCCTGTTCCAATCGATTGTAATTTTCACCACATCATCTCTGAGGTTAAGCTTCAAAGGGACAGACCAGCAACATCACAAAAATTACACGATTAGGCTGTATATATGGGATTATCACAAAAATAAGATATCTATGGAGTAATGCATGCCTATTTTGCTCAAAGTTACTAAGTTTCAATGACATAATAGAATGCTTTACCTGGTTGCCATTTTAAAAATCAAAGATGCAGCTTAGAAAAAAAATGAATAAAGCATCTTAATATTCTAATTCTGTTCCTATATTTATATAATTGAGCCATCTTTGAGAAGCCACCCATGAAAGATAAAAAGATGGAACCTCTTTTGATACTTGGATATCTAAAATACTTTTGGAAGGTGTCCAAATATAGGTCCGCCCTAGTTGGAATAAATCCTTAATTCCAACTAAGCATTCAACAGAGGAAGCATAAGTTGCTTTACAGAAGTTCCAGAAAGTGAATTCTCTTTGTTACTTATAACATAAACACATGCCTAAAATATTCATTACCTCAATGTGTTCTCACTTTCATTGTTTTCAAATCTAACCAATTTTTAAAAATACTTAAAACTCAAGATTATTCACACATAGTGATAGATGACAGTAACTAATTCAAATAATAATCAAAGTATTAGTTATGAAATTGTTGAGCTGAAAAACAAGTATGTTTCTACAGCAGTATAACAGATTGACAGAACTGTGTCCAGTGTGTTTACTAAGGATTTTTTTTTAGTAAAATATAAGTCTCATTACATGAAAATTTCTCATCACCTAGTGGTGATTATACCTAGAAAATTACACCTAGAAAATACCAAGAACCTGAATATAAAATTAATATCAAAATCAGTCAAAACTTTAGTGGGAGAGGAGAAGCTCCACCTGTAATCACTGACTGAGTATGAAGGAATCCCTATAAACTTTTCTAAGGACACCTATTGTATAAGTACATTGTATAAGTACATACCGCATAGTGGAAGGAAGTTAACTGTATTTTGCAAGAATAATTTATTGGCAACTAGTCATATTTTCCACAAAGTAAAGATACACGTTTCATGAATTCAACTATCAATCTAATGAGTTGTTAAAAATAAAAAACCAAAACGTGAATCACTGTCTACGGAACCAAAGAAATCCCAAGTTCCCAAAGTAAGCACTTTCGTGTACAATGGATACAAACATTTACTGCTGAGACCAGAACCATTTCAAGTCCTTATTTGACAGACATAAAGAAATATGAAATTTTACATAGACTATACTGGCAAAGATAAGCTTACAACTAAATTAAGATTTGACATTAAGATTAATAAGATTACTGTATTTAATAATGTGTATGAAAGCAATCCATCAGCATGTGTTTACAGTTCTCCAAGAGACATACAGTTGACTATGGCAAATTTAAATGGCTTGAAGAATAAAAAAAAACAAGTAATCTTTAAACCTGAGGAAAGCATCACATTCTTTAAAGAAAATAACTATAGAAAAGAAATCTTAATGGCTGGATAATATTCTATGTCAATTCAGCAGAATTATGTAAGTCTTCAAAGGCAACTCAAGATAGTTGGTCTTCCATGAAAAATCAAACAATAATGTCATAATTCAAAAATGACCCCCAAATACATCCAATTATTCATTCAGCAAATTCCTTTATGCATTTTACCCCATAGCTCTTGACATTCAAATTTTTCTATTAATACACTAGATTAATCAGTTATGAATGTTCAGTAGAAACTAATACAAAAAAAAAAAAAAACAAGCTAACAAATCTTTAGCTTGATAACATGGGCCAATGAGAGGAAAGAAAAAAGGTTAATGTAAGTGTATTTTGCATTTGGAGAAAAAAATACTTTTTACAATTCAGTTTTATACTTTCTTTTGAAAAGCACTAATAATTCAATGATATTTACAATGAACTAATAATTACAATTTACATCTTAAAAATCCTTTTAATTTGTTGCAAAAGGACACAAGTTGCCTAGGGGCAACTTACATGTGTGTATGGCTTAAATCATAATCTCAAAATACACAATAATACTAAAACAGCATTTAATTGATTTAAAAAAAATCTTATATTGACACTTGTATAAAGGTCCCTTTAACTATGTTACATTTGTTGGCAGGTGGCATAAGTTAAGATTGAATCATTTTTTCCATTTGAACCTTTGGTATAAATTTATATAACTTTGAAAAAATCAATATGCAGAATACTTTAGATGTTCAAATCATTTATCAATGTACATTATTTTTGCAACTTCTAAACACAAAGGCTGAGAATATTTTTCTCATCTGGACATTAGAATATTAATGATTAAGTCTTTAAGTTCCAAATCCATGCCAAAAAGTTCTTTGACTTTTGAACTATTTAAAGATCTGGAATATTATCACTGAAATGTTAATTTAAACAAAGTCTTTAAGACTTGGGAAAAAATTTACTAATGCTCATTAAACAATTGATTTTAAAGTTTTAATTTTAGAAGACCACTATTAACTGCCTCATAACACCGAACTGAATGTACAAATGAAAGTAGTTTGCCAGGCAAAATAAACGTACTAAGGTTTTAAAATTTTTACTAAAATAACTTTTTACAAGATCAATTATTCATCCATCTAAGGGTTTTAAAAATAATTCTCACAAATCAGGTAAATGCCCTATTGTCAGAGGTACCACATGCACTAGACCAGCCCCCAAACAAACTAGTTAACAGTCTGACATAAAATATTTTTAAAAGCAAGCAAACATTCTTTTGCTCCTTATTAAAAATAAGCTTCATTATATCATGAATGACTTTATCTAATAAAGTGAAGGAACCTCCTTTTTAAAAACCAGTTTTACTATGGCATTTCTGTAAGAGCGATTAGTTAATAGTCACACGACACTAGTAAAGACGGTAGAGCTGGTCATATATACAAATCATCAAACAATTTACACTAAAATCTAGGCACATTACAAGTTAGTTATATTTTAGAAATTCTTACAGTCCCCCGCACCGTTTCAAAGGGTATGACAGATGCAAATAAATGATGAGAAACAAATAAAAACCCAGAGTAAATCACCCCCTAAAGAGTGGAGATGGAGGTAGGAAAAGTTTCAGGCCATACTAACCGACGAATTAAAACAGGGGAGGAAAAACCACAGTCAGCTCCAGGAGCCTCCTTAACCCTGCCATCTCTCATGCATTGATTTTCTGCAAGAGTTCGGCGCCAGGACCCGTGTTTCCTCTCGCCCTCGGTACTCACGCGTGGTCACCGAGTGTGCAGCCGGCCGCTCCCGGCCCCAGGCAACTGGGCTCCCGCTCCTCCCGGTCCCGGCGGCCGCGGCCTCGGCATCCTAGCCGCAGACGCGATGCGGGAGGACTCCGCGACGAGGGAGGACTCCGGAGAGAGGACCGGGATGCTCCCCACCCCCGCCGCACCTCCACTTACCTGCCCAGTCAGGGTGTGCAGGGAACGAAAGAGCTCGCAGAGCACCTCGCGGGTGAGAAGGGGGCTGGAGCTTCGCTCCAGGTTCCTCTCGCTGCAGCTTGAGGCACTGGGCTCCGCAGCAGCAGCCATGACACCTTCGCAGCAGCCCCCAAGCGCGGCCAAGACGGCTCGCCCCCTCCCCGCCCGCGCCGGCTGAGATGACGTAAAACTACCGCGTCTTATTTGGATGTGAGGGTAGGCCCCACCCTCTCTATGTGACAGACAGGCACCGAGACCAATCAAGAGCAAGGCGTCTGAACTCGGAGGTTCTGTGTAGCGCAGGCGGACCCTCTGTTTGGTGATGTTTTGCGTGGGTGGCTATGGCTTAGAAGTCTACCTTGGCTCTTAGACGCTCCCCGTGAGTGCCGGAAGAGCCTTACTGTTAAGTGTTAGAAATTGAGTCCCTCTATTAAAATTTAAAATGTTAACATGGCGACTTGGAGTTGGGACAAGGTTGAGGGTCAGCGATGGAACGGGGCTCACGTGTCTGAATACTGGAAAATTCATACCCAGGATGATCATAACTGGATAGAACATTTTCATCTCTACAGGGTTGTTTGACGCGAAGAATGTAAGAAAAACTGAAAAGCCTACATTATGCCTCCTTTGTCAGGAAACGACATTGATGACTATAACTGTAAAATAGTTTGTCAAGTTTCTAATGCAACAGTTTCTCAGTGGACACTCAATGGACACTCAATCCTAAAATTCTTTCAAATAAATCCAATAGAACTTTAAACCAACTAATTTCATATTAGTCGAAATTGAGATAGAAAACTAAATCGACACTTGCCGGGTATTATTAGATAGCTTTATTATAACGAAAGAGTTATAATTTTATAATGTAGAATTCTGTTAAAATTTTAAAACAAGCTTAAGAGATAAGCTTGGTCTACTGACCATGTTGCAGGACAGCCAGGGCTAGTATACAGGAAGTAGAGGTATGGACCTAAAGTGTATTCTATAGAGTTGAGAAGAAGCTGAATGAAGGAAGAAATAAGGAACCAAGGGACACCGGGATAAGGATAGTAAAAATGAAAGCACTCCTTTGACCTGTCTCTACAGAGCCTTTTACTCAGTTATTTCCAAAGATGTCTGGGATCATCAGACATAGCAAGAAAGCTTGTCTGTGTCCTTGCTAGCAGTAAGATCTGAAGCCGGTAGAACACCTGTTTGGTGACAGAGATTGAAACTCAAATCAAGCAACCCTCTCATTCCAGTCACTTGTCCTTATAACTAAAAGAAATTCACAATTTGTTGTAATGTTAGCACATTTTTGTCTCTGATTCACTTGTTAATGGGGGATAATTGTAATGTGGAATCTAAGAGTCCTTGTTCTATACCAAGTAATGATCTTTGGATTTTTTAGGCAATAGAGGACTTTTATTACACATTTTGAGAGTGATTAAGGTACTGCCCATTCTTTTCTTTGTCATAACTGATTTTGAAACCCAAGCTTTTAGTTTCACTGTGTGTGTGGTGTGTGTGTGTGTGTGTGTGTGTGTGTGTGTGTGTGTGTGTGTGTAGGTGCCCAAAGAGATTAGAAGCAGGGGATATGAACAGCTAGCCAGGCATTGGTGTTGAGTCTCACACTTCAGTCCTCTACAAGAACAGTTGCATTCTTAACCACTGAACTGTCTCCCTCCCTCCCCCCCCCCCCTGCCTCCCTCCCTGCCTCCCTCCCACCCTCCCTCCCTCCCTCCCTCTCTCTCTCCCTGCCTCCCTCCTTCCCTCCCTCCCTCCTTCCTTCCTCCCTCTCCCCTCTCTCTCTCCCTCCTTGTCTCTCTCCTTCACTCTCTTCTTCCCTCCCTCCCTGTAGTCATCACTGTCCTGGAACCTTCTGTCTAGACCAGGTTGACCTCAGACTCAGAGATCCACCTGCCTCTGCCTCCCAAGTGCTGGGAATAAAAGCATGCAGCACCACACCCTGCCCCTTGCTTGATTTCTTGAACCCCTAATATAAGAATAGCTAATGGCCATTTTATTTATCTATCAATTATCTAATAATTCTGTTAAATCCAGACCTGCACCTGTATTTTATTATTGCTTGCTTAGATAATTCTTAGGACTTAGTTCCTCCATGTATTATGTCTTCTGTCTTGACATCTTGTATTCCTTCCTGATGCCCACTGAGTTCATTTCAGACATTTTTCTTCTTTTATAATAAAAACTTCTATTTTAAGTAGAAGGCTTTATAGGACAAAAAGATGTGGATTCCCTTGGGCTAACTGCAGACAGAAATGTATAGATGCTAATGTATAGCAAACGTATAATAAATGCTGAAATTTAAAAAGGGAATAATTTGCCCTTTATAGAAAACTAATTGCAGTTTATGAAGTGGGTTCTGAAAAATCGGCTGCTCAGCAGAAATGCTTCAAAGTGTTGACGTTGGCATTAGCAACAGAGTTAGAGTACTGTCCTGCAAGCTTATGCCAAGAAGCAATTGAGAAGATAGAAATTAGAAATGAAATCTAGGCTATCTCCCTTATCAACAAAAATGCCTTTTACAATGAGCTTTGAAGGCATGACTGACTCCATGACATAAAAATGCCCAAGGTATCGTGTTTTAAAAAATATATAATATACAATATTTTTCTAATGCAGAAAATTAAATAAGATATTCGTTGCCCCTGTCTCTGCATCATCTGCTGGGCAGGTCCAATTTCCTTAGAAAAACATTATCAGGTTTTTCTCACTACTGTACTATTTCATATTGTTGCACAGTTTTTGGCATAGAGTAGTTGCTCAATAGTTTTCCTTTCTATGTGAGGCAGGTATATTCTACAACTTTCAGTGGATGCCTGAAGCAGTGAACAGTACCAAACAAACTCTATTTATATTATATTTAATTGCTACCATAGATGGTAGCAACCTCAGCATATATAGACTTTATTCTTGCCTTACTGAGAGCTTCCATCTTTTCACTTAGGGAAAGTATGTCACAGTTTGTTTGGCATATTCAGATTGCTAGTGTCATTACTCTTATGCTTTTTGGTGGCTGTTAAGTTGAACATAAGCACTCTGATACCCTGGAAGCTCTGATGACTGAGACAGCTGAAAGTGAGTAGTGAGTAAATAGCATATATGCCTCGGATACATTGGACAAATGGATTCACATAGAATACATGTATAGATCTGGATTATATAAACTTCATCACATTTCTCAGCATCGCTTACAATTTTTAACTGTGACATGCTTATTTCTGAAGTTAGTGTTTTTATATTTAGATCGTGATTTGCCATAAGTTACTGAAACCATGGAAAGTAGAACCACCAACAAAGGTAGAGCTACTATATATGCTCACTGAGTGCAACTCATTTACCTAAAATGGACTTGTATAAAGGGGTAAATCTCTTGGGAAAAATTGTAACAGATAGTAACAATGCTATTCAACAGTTTCCTTAATAACTCATGTTTCTAAGCCTGGGGTTGGTAGCGCATGCCTTTAATCCCACCACTTGGGAGGCAGAAGCAGGCGGATCTCTGTGTGTAGCCTGATCTCCAGAGCAAGTGCCAGGATAGGCTCCAAAGCTACACAGAGAAACCCTGTCTCAAAAAACCAAAAATAAAAAAAAAATAATTCATGTTTCTGTTCTTTGGGAACAGAAAACTCAAAGTGCTAAATTATCCTTAAATGAATAAATATAGATAGCCTTCTGTGCTGGCTAGTTTTATGTCAGCTTCACACACAAACTGGAATTATATGAAAGGAGAGAATCTTAATTGAGAAAATGCTTCCATAAGATCAGGCTGTAGACAAGCCTGTATGGCATTTTCTTAATTAGTGATTGATGTGGGAGGGCCCAACCCATTGTGGGCGGTGCCATCCCTGGGCTGGTAGTCCTGAGTTCTGTAAGAAAGCAGGCAGAGCAAGCCATGAGGAACAAGCCAGTAAGCTGCACCCCTCCATGGCCACTGTATCAACTCTTCCCTCCCAATTCCTGCCTCACTTGAGTGCCTGTCCACTGTGATGTGGAAGCATAAGCCAAATAAACCCTTTCCTCTCCAACTTGCTTTTTGGTGTTTCATCACAGCAATAGGACCATAACTAAGACACTTTCATCGCCATTCATATTAAAATATATGTTCCCATTCCCAAAGGAAGGACAAGAGATATAGCATGGAAAGACTGGACCAAGTCAAGACTACCCAGCAGGATAGATAACCAAACCTGTAGCTCTTATAGTTTGAAAGGACTTGGATGACTGCTCCTCCAGCTTTGTTGTCTGTGTTAGAAACAATAATCTCAGTGTCACACACAGGAACATATAAACAAAAACAGAAGTAGCCCAAGTAAGCAATTCTTTTTATAAAAAGGGTACACAAGGGGGCTGGAGAGATGGCTCAGAGGTTAGGAGCACTGACTGCTCTTCCAGAGGTCCTGAGTTCAATTCCCAGCAACCACATGGTGGCTCACAACCATCCATCATGAAATCTGGTGTCCTCTTCTGGTGTGCAGATACACATGGAAGCAGAACGTTGTATACATAATAAACAAATAAAATAAAATTTTTAAAAAAGGGTACACAAAGGCCCAAATTGGGCTGGCAAGAACACATTGGGTTAAGATGGCATCTGTCTTTTACCCTTGACATGGGTAGTGACTACATTTTATCCCATTGATGAGTGCCAGACTTCACAAGCTGACACTATTGGCTGATTGGTGCAAAGGGGAAGATTCAAGTTCAGGAAATGTGAGTCCTTGATGGACTGACAAACTCTAATAGGAAAACAAACAAAATAAAATAAACAACAAAAGAAACAAGAGCAAAACCAAAACTAACTTCAAAAGAAAAAAGCAAATAAAAATGTTTCTAACATCTGCAACATATGTCACTCTTTTGGACTGGTTCAACTCCCTTGGCAGATGTTTCACAGTTCTGGCATCTCCAGCATCTTGGGGTCTCCACTGCAACCTAGGTTTAACCTTCACACGGTGGGCTCTCAGGGTCTTCTTGTAGGAGCATATTGCCTGGCTTCAGTGGCTTTCTGAAACCAGGCAGGAAGAGTCCACCCATCCCTCTTGCAACTTCCATGCTTCCAAACCAGTACTGTTGTGCCCAAATTCTGAACCCCCAAATCACCAAGAGACCCAATCCAATGCAAAAGCAAAGAGTCTTTAATTAATGAGTTAACTATATTA